CATACTAGCTTGAAAATTAAAAAAAAAAAAATGAATGGCCCTAATACGCTTCCGTAATATCTCATCTACTTAGGCTATATAGACAAGTTGGGCATAATTTCTACTTCCTAATTTATTAAATATTATAGTAATTAAACTTACTGATCCATAAATATTTAAGGTTCTCAAAGGTCAAAGTTTCCTGTTTTGCTCTTGAAATTCAAGTAGAAACTTTCTTTTATTACATGATCATTGGCCAATAAATTTTCCGTCGAATTAACCCAACAAACAAAACATTGACAAGCAGAAATTTGTCGATGTCCTGGATCAAAATCAATAAAAGTGCCTTTTTGGTGTAAAACATCAACAAATTTTGTTTATTCGATATCTATTTAGTACTTTGTTATAGAATACGGTAATTTTCGAAATTTTCATATTAACAAAATAAAAGTAGACTAGGCCTAAAGATATGTGTCACTATCAACAACAAAAGCAAAACAAAGCTATACAAACTATACTTCAACAAATTTAAATACATAGACCTATTGTGTGAAATGAAATGAGTTGAACGATCAAGATATAAAGTAATAGGTCAATCGAACTCACTATTATTTAAATTTGGTTCAGAGTTACCTCCCTTGATGATGAATTTATTGCCTGAATTTCTCATTAATCTGATCGCATTAATGACGGCAAGTAACTCATCTGAAGCCTAGCTTGAAGCGTCTTCACATTTTTATTGTGACGATTATTTTTTACCATTTTTCGTAAAATGTAGGGAAGCTAAGGTTGATTCATCAGTGCAAATTAGCATATAATTTATTGCAAGTTTTTAATGATGAAATATTACCTCCCTTGAAATGAAACATTTGGTAAATTGGCGCGAAAACATTCGTAGGTCTCCTGCTGTTTTTGACATTTCCGAGTGAGCTAGGCTTTGAGATTGGAACAAACTTTGGTGACATTAGCTCGACTGTTTGTAGGAATCCATTGCAAGATGTCAGTTTGTACACCTTATATTGTGTGGAATGTTTAGGACAGCAGTAGCCTATTAATCGTGTTTTGGTCATCGTTGTTTGTTTCTGTGAACATAAATGGTGGATGATTAGCCTACCACGACCGGTCACGTTTGATGACGAAGTTGTAGGCTTATTGAATGTTGAATAATCTATGTTACTAATATGCGCCACTAGGACCAGTCCCTAGGACTAAATGTGCTTTGGCTATGGTTTCTTTTTCTATTTTTTTTAAACCCATACAATATTCAGTAACTACCTAGCATACCCATAATAGATCTACCTATTCAGCATTCTACATTTTGTAAGGTATAAAAAAAAAAGAAATTTGAAGCTAATTAGGCTGCTCTAGGATGATAAATATTTGTTCCCCTTAACTTCACGAAGTGGTAACATGAAACTCTTTGAAAGGGATTATATTTGACCTTGACCCTTAAAGTCATCCTAGTCGGCCTTGACTCACATTTTGTAAACAAACACAATTTTCTGCATAGCCCTTGCAAATATGTTCATATACAATGGGGGTATACCTGTATAGAAATTTGCATTTAAAAAGCAATCTATATTGATAGACCGTCTTCGAGTAACTATTCATAAATTTCATGAACTTGTTAGACAATAGGCCTATATCTATATTAATGTTATGCCTCTTGAAAAATATATTAGGAAAAAAATAAAGTTCTTTGCAATGGTGTAGTTTAGTATGTGTATGAATATTATCTTGCCATACAAACTGACTTAATAAACTGTTATGAGAGTATATATTGGCTATTATGTACATAAGACCTTATAAGCTTTTGTAAATCCCAATGACGGGCATTATGATGGCAAGTCTTTTTACCAGGTCAACTCGAAAGTCTTGAAAAAAATATCCTTGCAAATTAAACTTGCACCGTTTTAGTAACTATATAGGCCTACTATTCTGTATGTATATCTAGATAAGTAAAAACTATATTGTATGAAAGATAGTGAGATAAAAACGTTGAGGTGTGGAGATCATTACAAGTTGGCTATCGATCTGTAGTATAGCCAGCGCCTCGTTCTGACTAGCAGGTTTATGTTGTATAGTAGTTTTCTACCCATATCCCGTTATATTATAACTGTAGGTGACGACATCTATAGAAAACAGTTAGCCCTCTACAATGTGTCATGGCAAACATAAAGGAAAGGAAATGGGGAGATGTGGTTTTGATTGTACCTTTTGATAAAAAGTACTGCATATTCTCTTTTGCATTTTGCACGCGATCATAACAAGGAGTTTAGTGGTGATATTTACCCACAAGTCTGTGCGCTTTGAACCGCGGATCGAAATCAAAATGGCTATGCATCGTCCGTCGATAGGAAGACGGGGCTCAAAAAATGGTACAGAAAAAGAAGAAGAGGAAGAAACGGAAAATAATGGATATATTCAAGTGTTTGTGAAGCCATTAGAGCAATGCAACTATAGTTTTATTTTTAATTGGCTAGGGATAAGCAAGGCTAATTTTACAGCTCAACAACTGGGAATACTGTATGGAACTGGTGTTATTTTATCGTGTTTACTCTTATATCAGTTATTAAAATGCGATGTAGGCTATATGTTTCAAAGATTATGTGCTCTCATAGTTCCAATGTTCAGCATATTATGCGTATTTTATTGGTTATCCTTGTTTTTTCGGCGTACATGGAGCAACATGAGTGTGTATATTTTGTTTTCATCTTGTTACTTAGGAGAAACATTTGCTCAAGTGTGTCAAAGAAATTGGAGTGCAGGTGAGGGGTCAGACTCACATGGGATATCAGGGACAGACATAGCAGGACATGTCAGTCAGCCACTTGTTATTGTCACTGTATTATTGTCAGTCAGCGTTGCCAGTGTGTTTTCATCCCTCGAAACTGTTCACAGTGCTGTTGTGATTTTACTTGTCAGTTTCACAAGATTTTTATCCTGTTCAACATTATTAGACATTCCCCAGACTCTCAGACCTTATATAGCTTACACATGCGCTTTTGCAGGAATTTTAGTTTCAAAATATATGGAAACTGTTTTAAAACCCCCGATTCAAAACATATTGACTCAAGATGGGAAGATTCCTGTCATTAAAAGACGTAGATCTAGCTCCTCTACCGCTCATGGCTTCTCTGCTCACAGGTCAACAAGAAGAACATCATTACCTGCCCTTATTAATAAAAACCAGGTTAGTTAAAACATTATCTTCAAACAACTTTATATAGGTTGCTGATAGGAGATGCTAGCCTGTTTAATTTGGCCTTACATTGTTCCCAGACATATATGGATGGCTTAGCAGGTCAGGGCAAGACATAAAATGTCACTCTCATGAGAGTCGCACCAATCCATTTGTGGATTGTAAGAATTCTTAAAAAGTAGCGAGCAATTCCCAAATGTGCCGATTTCCAAATCATATCTGAGGACTTTGCAGGGCCAGATTTGTCAGGCTAAAGGGGTAAAAGCCCACTGAATTGTGATACTCGATACCAAGCGGTCTAACATTCTAGTAGCTCTCTGTACAAAATAGATATGCCCAATATAACAGATAATTGATCTCTTCACCCCTGTCAAGTATCAATTTGTTTTCACACACCATTCCCATCCTATTAAACTGAAGGTTTTCTACTTAAACTTAGACCTTAACACTGGAAGTAGATGAGAAGTTCTTAAGGAATTATTTTAAATTGATAATCTTGAAAACCTCTGTAAAGTAGCAGTAGTGACTGGAATAATAATATTTCAAAAGTTACCTGATGAAAAGGAACATTTGTTGTTACATTCTGACCTGGGATAAACCCGCAAAATCAATTCTGCCAATTAATTTCCCTTCCTGATAAACCGGGATAAGTTTTTGTCAACTGGCGGCAGTCTGAAGAAACAATAAGCAATAATGAGGAACCTCTTAGAAGGGTGGTTATTCAAGCCTATGCCAAAGATTTTGTTTTGTATACAAGGATTCTGTAGACACACTGAGATCTCTTTCTAAGATTTTTTTGCTTGACCATTGTCCATTCAGCCCAAAACTGCTTGTCCAAAACTTGCCCACTCGTGTAATTCTTATTGACATAGGTTTGCCAGATTAGATTGGAAATAGATAAAGACAGCTTCACATGACCATTTGCCAAAATACTTTCCAAATATGAAAATGTGATAAAGTTGTTTAAGTGTAACAACTAGTGCTGGATATCGTCAATCATGATACGATACAATACATATCGCATTTATGATTTATAATTTTGATTATCGATTATCGAATTTCATAATCGATTATATGTCAAAGTTACATTTTCTCCACTGTACTCATTAACAAGTGGTAAACTCTTCCACATAGGATCCCGTCAGCACCAACAATAAATTATAATAACCGATCAAAGCAAGAATAAACTAAAACGCAAAATTAACCCATGAAATTAAGAATTTGGCATGTTTTTAATTCAGTATATACAGGATTCTAAATTAAATTATTTCGATTATTGATCAATAGTCTGCCATCGAAATTTGCTAAAGAATACCCAGCCCTAGTTTTGATTGATTAAAATTCACTTCCTCATACAACAGTAAAAAAAATAAAGAAAAAGTACACCTTTGCAGGGTTCAGATTGTTTAGATTGAAAAAAATTGATTAGCAATTAGTTGTTCCAAACTTCAGTTTCAGCTAATCAATTTATATTTTTATTTGCATGTCATAAAAGTTTGTAGTAATTGAAAATTCTGGTTGTAGACTCAAAATCAATTTTGTCAATGAGGTTTCAGATAATACAATGTATTGATAATAAATTTATTACAGTAATGAAATAATTATATTGTTAATAAGATACAATGGATCCAGCTATTTCTATTGACTAACAAAGTTGCAAGAAATGCAAGAGTTGTCAAATATTCTAATTTGGTAGAAAATTCTCAAAAAGAATTACAGTTTTGATTTGATTCCCAGATCAGTGTTAATTTTAATGTTGTCTCACCATAGGAAGAATTGGATTGCAAAAAGTTGTTTGGATTTCAAATTGCAGTGCACTGAAATTATCTAGGCCAGTGCTGTTATCTTATGAAACTGTGTTATCATCACCATCTAACACTGAAATATGTTCCCATCATATTTTGATCAGGGAATTTACATTACAACCTGATTTCACTAGCCCAGAAATGCAACTTTAAGCTAACAGTCTTGTACGTTTTTAATAACACATGGAATATATCTTTTGTTTAATCACTTGACATTTTTATTCACCAACAGCTGGCCTTGACAAACAGGTCAAATTTTTCAATTATTTTGTTCAATAATCAGATTGTTTTGAACAGATTTTAAGAGATAACTGAACCTAAGCAGACTATGTAGTAAACTTGTTGGTTTTAAATCCAACTTGTTTTTATTTTAAGGGATTGTTGGGAGATTTTCTAAATTTTGTATGTGTATTTGGGACACTGTTAGCATCAATTTGCACAATTCCAATATTCATTCAGACATCTGGTTCCTGCAATTCCACAAAATACTAAGTGTTTGATGCCGTCACTAATTGTAAAATATCACAAGGCCCTTACCAATTAGTAATGTCATAAAACACTTAGTTTTCAGATGGTCAGAAGGCTGATTAAATATTAAAATGATGCATATTGATGCTATCAGTGTCCCCGATACGCATACAATTTTTAGAAAACCTCTTTAAAATCAATCCCTTTGATGTATGTACACAGCAAATTTGTTATTTTACATGACTGTTTCACTGGGGTTTATAAGAAATATTATCATATATGAAATTAGACACAGTACAACTTTCAATGACAAAGGTGTTGGAGACTTCCTGCTGTCCTAATGCTCAAACAATGAATTTATATAAATAGGAAGTGAAAGATTGAAATCTAATGCTTATTTTCTTGAATAATAGGGTTTATATTGTAACATGTTAATGATGCAGAAATTTTCTAGCTAGTGAACATTGTTAAGGAGGGAACAGACGATGTACGGTGCAGGATAATTGATACAGTAGAAAATAGAAGAAATAAATCATGTTCGGACCCGTACCTCGTGTTCATTTCTTCTATTTTCTACTGTATCGATCATCCTACATCCTACACCGCACTGGTTACTTTAGGCATGTTTAAGAAATGAAACGAAATGAATGGCGTTATATGTCCTACTGTTCTGCACCATGTGGGCTAATGAAGACAGCAACGCCATGCAGGGTGCAATAAGGGAAATTTTGCCCAGACACCGACATTAGCCTGCTCTTGTTCGATTTCCAACTGTCAAGAGCATGTTTAAGAGACCTGAAGCAAGCTAACTTAAAGGTTGTGGAAATGAGGTGGATGCACAAGCATACTATAAGACTTGTGATTTAAACCATAGAGGATTCAAGATCATTGACATTTTCATCCTTTTTAAGTTTCAACTGTTTAGAGATTTTTAATGTGCACAGCTTGTTGTATACTGGGATTTAGTTTAATGTCCTATCCAATCAACTGAATCACTGTAGAAGGAAGCATAGTTGAGAAAGATGTAGGCCAAGATAAAAACTACATTTTTTTTTTTACATCAAAACACTAGAATCTAAAAAGCTGACACCTGTTTGATTTAATAAAATCTATTTTTAATTCAACATGGATGTAGACTATTTCAAAGTGCTTTTACTTATAAAGGAATTATACAGAGGTTTTATGTGTATCAGGGACACTGATAGCATCAATTTGCACCATTCTAATTTTCAATCCAACATCTATGGTTCCTGCAAATGCGCTACAACTAAGTGTTCGGTGATGTCATTAATCGCGAAAGGCCTTATTAAAGCATATTTTGCGATTAGTAATGTCATCAAACACTTAGATTTACCCTTAGTGGAATAGCAGGAACCACAGATGTCTGACTGAAAATTGAAATGATGCAAATTGATGTTATCAGTTCTTCAATACACATACAAAATTTTAGATAACCTCTTGACAATCCCTTTAATTGAAATCCAATGCTACATCAAATTGTCAATGCAATACGTGCTATTGGTAACTAAAATCGAGCTTTTATCAGCTTGTAAACTGAATAATCATAAGACCATATTATTATATCCTTTTAATATTAATTGAAATAAGAATATTACAATGATGAGAATATGTCAATATGGTTCTTTCAATTTGACTGTTTATTGTATAAAAACTATTTGAAATTAACTGAATTCATTCACTAGAAAATATAGATTTTATTATGATTGAAGTGTATCCATATTGTTAACTTACAAAGGTAAAGTGTTTTGATATAAGATCAATGCTAAAAGGTTTGGTCAAGGACCTGTTGGAAGAAAGGATCCTTTGTAAACCTAAGTTGTTATCCTTGTTAAATATAATTGTTTTTTTTCCCCTTTTCTTGCTTCTTTTGCCAACTTGAAAATCTTTTGTAATCAAAGCAAAGGTTGCAAATTTGGCCAAATCTGGGCAAAATGTGAAGATCAAAGGTGTGACTACTGAAAAATCCTAACTGCCATCATGAAGTCCAGTTCAGTAATAATTTAGCTATAGAAAGTTGGATTTTTACTACTAAGCAGTTTTATGTCAATTTCAGGCTTTCAGTAGATCTGAGTTTTGACTGCAATGGATTTGATAAGATGTCCTTAATTCACTTACTTATTTTGGAGTTTTAATCTAGAATAATGTAGAAATAATGGCCTACTTAGTCTTTTTTGGAAAGAAACTCATAGTCTGTTAATCTAAGAAAATTGTTGGAGCTAGAAGTACATACAATGTAATGATGCGTCTACAGTTGGTAAAAAAAATAGAGTATAATGAGATTAACTGTGATATAGTAGTTCTGTAAAGAAGATTAAGGTGGAAAAATCATCATGGTATTTCTATTTACTTTCAATCATTAAATAGTACCAGTATGTATGAGGAAGTTTTAATGTCATTAAGAAAATGATGATTGACGTCATAGAGGACTGGAGGTTTATACAGTTCATATACTCAACATCATATTACAGTGCTTGTTATTTCCACTCTATGTATTATATATACAGCCTTGATAGATATTAATGATTTCTATGTGTGACTAGTTCAGAGTTCACTCCAGTCTTCAATTAAATTGACCCTTCTTATCCTTGCAGCTTATACAGAAAACTGTATTATATTAGCCAGCTAATCATTACTCGTGGAATAAATTTCTATAGTTTATGGCTTTTCCATGGAAGGAAGAAAAAGAGTGTTAATTAACAGCATTGAATCTATATGATTAATACAACCCTCCTACCAGGCTTTTATCACGTTGAAGAAAGACATTGTTCTGCTTCAGGAAAAAACTTGGCACTTTAAAGTCCATGTTTGGCCCTTTTTTCAGGGTTTGATTTGGGCATTGAATGAATGTATGTGAATAATCTTCAGAACTACTAAAACTGTACGAAAATCACATGATTCTTTCAAACAAGAAATTTTACTTTTTATCTAATTCGTTCATAAGCTTATCTTCTCTAAAATTTTGGGTATCCAAAAATTGAAGGTCTTGCTGATATACTGCTAATCTCTAACATCCAGAAATCTTTTGTCACAGCTGTTCGTTAACGAAGTGAAACTAGATGATTGAGTCTACTGTATACATGTGATGTCATCAATGGGTATTCAAAATAAAAAATCGGAATTTGCTTTTTTACTTCCAAACACAGATACAGAACGGATATATGGGGCTAAGAAAACTCAAATTTAATGGTAAGCTGTGAATACTATTACCAATGAGTTATGCTGAACAATTCCTGTTTCTGAGACCATGACACGATTGATCTCAGAGAATGGCACACCATGGATTTAAAAGGGAAAAAAATCTGGATGATATTTATGTGTGTAGAAACCTCGCCCTAATTTCGTTTTTTAAAGTAGAACAATAAAATATATGAACCAAGAAATTTCTTCATCGAGTAAGTCAATCAAATCTTTACCAATGGGTTAGAGTAAAAAGAATATCACGAAAACAAGTTTGCTTCAATTGCTACAATAATTCAAATAAACTAACGAAAATATTTATCTCTCTGCCTGAATAGATTTTGTCAGTCAATAAACTTTTCAAATTAAGTCATATTCTCACTGAAGTTGCATCATTTTAGCTACCAAGTCTTTCAAACACTGACAAATACAGAACATGTGTTGGTTATACAATGTCCTTGATCTAATAAAAACAAGTGTCCTTAAAGGGATTTCATTGAAATATTACTATTATTATTTCTTTCTTTGTAGTCGTAAGAGAAAGCTTTCGAATTCTAATAGAAATAAGTTTTCTTTCAAAAATTAACAGGGCATTCCTTTTATTTTTGGACTTCAAAATTTCTTTTTGCTCAAATTTATGAAGTCTATACACCAAAACCTAGAGAAATTTGTCCCTTAACTTTTCTGATGATTTTAATTAAAAATTTTAATGCCCAAAACTAAAACTATTTACATCTTTAACAATTAGTACTTTCCGTTTTTAATTAATAATTTTAATACAGATTTAATTTGATCAAGTTGATACAAAAATGCATATAGCATATTTTAGAAATACTTTCAGGTATAATTTAGGACGTTTTTGATAATGAAAATTTTGTATACTGCCTCTATAAGTGTCATTCACCTGTATATCTTTATGTACATGTATATTGTCAGCTACTATGCTCTTCTTGTACATCTGTTCACCTGTATATCTTTATGTACATGTATATTGTCAGCTACTATGCTCTTCTTGTACATCTGTTCATACGCATTTACGTGTCAACTATATAGCTATGCAACATCTGTAGATTGCGTATGACAGAATGATCTGATAAGCATTCTGTGATAAAACATAAAGATTGTGCAGAGCTCTGTTGAATTCCTGTGCAGGGCTCTCTGTTGAATGCCTGTGTAGCGCTCTGTTGAATCACTGTGCATTGCTCTATTGAACCATTGTGCTCTATTTAATCTCTGTGCAGGGCTCTCTGTTGAATCACTGTGCAAGCTCTCTGTTTAATAGCTGTGCAGTGCTCTATTGAACCATTGTGCAGTGCTCTGTTTAATCACTGTGCAGTGCTGTGTTTAATCACTGTGCAGGGCTCTGTTTAATCACTGTGCAGTCCTCTGTTTAATCACTGTGCAGTGCTCTGTTGTTGAATCACTGTGCAGTCCTCTGTTGAATCACTGTGCAGTCCTCTGTTGTTGAATCACTGTGCAGTGCTCTGTTGTTGAATCACTGTGCAGTCCTCTGTGGAATCACTGTGCAGTCCTCTGTTGAATCATTGTGCAGTGCTCTGTTGAATCACTGTGCAGTCCTCTGTTGTTGAATCACTGTGCAGTGCTCTGTTGTTGAATCACTGTGCAGTCCTCTGTGAAATCACTGTGCAGTCCTCTGTTGAATCATTGTGCAGTGCTCTGTTTAATTGCTGTGCAGTGCTCTATTTAATCACTGTGCAGTCCTCTATTGAATCACTGTGAAGTGCTCTGTTGAATCATTGTGCAGTGCTCTGTTGAATCATTGTGCAGTGCTCTGTTTAATTGCTGTGCAGTGCTCTGTTGAATCACTGTGCAGTACTCTGTTGAATCACTGCATGACTTTGTTGAATTGTTGTGCATGGCTCTGAAACGCTCTGTTGTATCACTGAAGTCGCAAATATTTTCCCCATGAAGCAAGTTACACCTTTTGAGAGCAATGCAAAATTATTTTCTATATTATGTAAGTGGCTTCTGTAATTAAAAAACTGAATGGTTTAAACAGTGATGGTAAAATTCTATTTAAGATACTTGGCAATTAACCTGCACTACATACTGAATTAACACACTTTAGCTGCACAAATTGAATATGCATGTATGAATAAGTAATAAGAAAGCATAATTGAAATATTTAAGCATGAAAAGCAAATGAATATAATGATATTAAAGGTTGCGCGCTTCATCGTCCCCCTTCCCCCACCACCATATTGATAATATAATATTGTAAGCTTAAAATATGAGTTTAAATGGTCATTAGGGAGTTATATAATATATTTATATTGTTACATCATGTTATACAAGAGTAAGTTGATCTAATGAAATGCATTGTAATAATGAATAATTTATTTGCTGCGTCTCCACAAGTATTTGAAGTGCAGAGTTTCAGATGTCCCATAAAATTTGTTTACATCTATTGTAAGGATATACTTGAATAATTATTTGATAATTGGGCTAGATATTATATAGTGATTAGTTTACTAGTGGATTTTGCTTGAGTTAACTTAACGATTTATAAATGTTTTTTGGGTTAAAACTTGACTTGGTTGAACTCCCATTGTGTCTTTTGGTTTGATAAAATCTCGACTGCACAAAAGCATTTTGCACACTTTTTTTGACAAAGAATAGGATGAGTTCTGTAAAATTTCATTACTTATTGGGTGAGTTTATGAGTGGATTTAGCTTTGAGTAAACTTTATTTACGATTCATGAAAATTTTTTTGGGTTAAAACTCGAACTTAACTCCCACTGTGTCTTGGTTTGATAAAAATCAGGACTGCACAAAAGCGTTTTGCACGCTTTTTGATTAAGAATAGACTGAATTATGGTAAATTACTTTAAATCAACAATAGGCCAGTTGTTATTGTCCTTAAATTTTCTTTTTCTTTGGGTGCAGATTAACTTGCCTTGCTTTGTAGTTGTTATCATAACTGGGATCTTGAACTCTTTTAGTCCATGACAATGCCAAAAGGTTCACAAGGTGTTCAACACAAAATGTGATACAGTGCAGGGTTCAGCAGTATCGCATGACAGTTTGCGTTTCAAAATGTCTCCTTTTGGAATTATTTCTTGATTGGCCAAAACTGAAATTTGGTATAATAAATTGCTAAAAAATGAAAATTCAATGTAAATTGTTTCTCATGTCATAAAATGGTATGAAATAATGATGTTTTCAATACATTTAAGATGAAAATAGAGAAAAGCAAGAAGTGTAAATAGTTAAGAAATATTGGAAGTCAAATAGTTGTTAAATGTGATTGAATGTTTATTAGGTATACTTGTAGAGTGGAATGTAGCATTAACTCTGAAGAAAATCCAGTTGTTTATCTCTTCATCGACCTACCTTGAAGTGTAAAGCCTCTTACATCCAGGCTGCCAGAAGATTCTAGTGGCAATGACTAGATTTACAAGCTAAATATAATAAATAAATTGATTTTCCATGAAGCTCTCATCTTGAAAAGAAAGAGAAAGAGGAAGATATAGAAAAACCTTAGACACCAATAAATAAGTTGGAACCAAAAATACTGTTGACATACTTAGGTTTTCCTTGTCTCATCTTTTAAGAAGTAAAAAGCTAGCTGTAAGACATTATTAATCACACTGATCACAGTGACTTAGTCAGTTGAAAGAAGATAACCATTGTCAATTAATGGTAGAAAAAATATCACGACCATCGCCTTCAGATAAGTTTGATCACTAAACAGTGATGTTATTAAGGCCATAGGGACGTGTCTTATTAAACAGATAAGGTAGCCATCTTGAATCATCAATGGTACTACAAATTCTCAACAGTGACCTTTGATCCAACAAGATGATGTTATTTATAGTCACGATTCTGGATTCTGCGACCATATTGATTTCTGGCTGGATTTTTGTTGTTATTTCAGCAACTGTTCAAAGAATATTTTCAATTGCCATCCATTTATTTCGAAATATTTATGGAAATTCAAAGTTCAATAGTTTTACATGTGAAATAAAGTTCTATAAAAAATGAAAACATGTAAAAAAGATTATATTTCGGACTATGAATGGATATCAAATCATAATATCTCCATTGGTTGATATTTTAATCAACCAAAAGACTATTTATGAAATAAGAAGAAAAGAAGAACTTTGCCTCAGGACACCCCTGATCTGGTGTGTACTGCCCGACCGGTTTCAAACATGAAGATACCCACAGACTACATTACCTAGTATGCTGTCACTGGTTTTTGAAAATTTATAAACCTCAGTACAATTTTGGGTTTGACTTGATAAACAGAACCAAAGTGGCCGGCCAGTAATTAATGTTATTTGTTATTAAAGCTACCATCCAGAACTTTTGGTTTGAATATTAAAGTTAATGAACAGCCTTTAGATTTATCAAAGGTAATTTGAGACATATAACCCCTGAAGAAACCAAGGTTCAAACTTTGATTTTTCACATGAATAATCAATGTGATGTGGCAAGGTAGTTTCATGCGCTCTCTGAAAATTAAATGATGTTGAATTTTACACTTTTTGCATTGAAGACATTTTGCTTGGACAGCAGTATTAAACTTCTCTTTTTTGATTTCCAAATATAGAAGTATCTTTTATATGCACAGGTTGTTAATACACAAGATAACAGTTAATTTGTACTTCAGCACAAAAAAATGAAAGCTTTTTCATGCCATACTTCCTAATACTAATCAAAGGTACTTTATTCTCCTTTGCCAGGATTGAACACTGGACCACAGCAAGGAAGTGACTAGCTCATTGCATCTAATCAGCACTTAAATTGCGTGATCAGTTCTTAAGTTCAGTTAAGTGAAAAGGTGTAGCAAATTGCATGTTCTCAATTGGAAAGTAATAAATAAGTAATTGTCCGCAGAGACTAAACAATAGTAAAGCTAGTACAGGGAGAAATATTAGCAATGCAAGACTATAAGTTTAAAGATAGGTTACCTTATTTTCATTTATGAAAATGCTAATACTGATATGAATAGAAAGTAGAGGTGTACTAAGCAGAATTCCGATGAGTGACGAATCAAGAAGGTCAAAAAGACTTTTTTTATGTTTCTCCAGACTGTACATAAATGGACATTTATGATTGGTTAAAACTCTTAATTATATGCAATAAGAACCTAATGATATGATTAAGAATACATGATAATTCATGAGAAACAGCAATAAATCAAATAGATTGCTTAATTTGACACTAAAATATAAGGAAACTCATCTTTAAAATATATTCACAAAATAGAAACTTATGATCTTAATATTCCTAAAGCAGCCTTTTGTATGGGATTACTGGATAAGTGAAGATAAATATAATTGCTAGATGATGTTAACTTGTAGGCAAGGTTATCTCAACTTATATAATGACTTTATCTACTTTTAATCATACTTCAGGCCAATTGTAACATTGCATGATGCCACCATTTTTATTAGCTCCACAAGATAGGAGAAACAAATAGACTTTCAATGACTATAAAATGATACAATTAAGGTTATTAAAGGAATTGTAAAGAGGTTTTCTAAAATTTTTATGTGTATTGGGGACACTGATAGTATTAATTTGCATCATTCAAATTTTCAATCAGACATCTGTGGTTCCTGCAATTCCACTAAATGTGGAACTGCAAACATTCAAACTAATCGATTGATGATGCGATAGTCGCAAAATATGCTTTATCACCTAAGGTGCTTCACGACTGGGGACATCATGAAATACTTTGCTTTAGTGGAATTGCAAGAACTACAGACGTCAGATTTGAAAATTGAAATGATGGAAATTAAGGCTATCCGTGTCCCCGATACACATAAAAATGTAGAAAACCTCTTTACAATCCCTTTAAGAATTAATAGAACATTGCTCTCCTCTAATTTTAATTGTGTTTTTCTCAGACATTGTATTATAAAACCTATTAATGGATTAATAGCATTGTTTTAACTGTCATAGAAAGAAAGCTTGTCGTCAAAGAAACTATCTACTATATATAGATTATAAAGCCATGCCTAGCAAATGCTAGTTGAAAAGAAAGTCTTGTCAGATTTATTGATTTAAATCTAATTCTCAAGTCAATACTTGTAGGATAATTCCTGTTTTTCTTTCATCTCACCAGAAGATACACTAGATAAGGGCTCAATATATTAATTCATTTGGTAGAGTCTGAGAGAATGAGATGCGTGCCAGCTTTATAATTACATGAATGGCTCTTACTCCTGTCTATCAGCTTTATAAGGGATTGTAACGAGTTTTCTTAATTTTTTATAACACTGATAGTATCAATTTGCACCATTCCAATTTTCAATCAGATGTCTGTGCTTCCTGCAAGTCCAATGAAGATAAATGTTTGATGAAGTCACTAATTGTCTTATGTGATAAAGCATATTTGGTGATTAATGATGTCATCAAACACTTAGTTTTAGTGGAATTTCAGGAACCACAGATTGGAAATTGGAATGGTACAAAGTAATATCAGTGTCCCCTATTTACATAAAACCTCTTTGCAATCCCTTTAAGATTTAAAGTCAATCCATTTGGTAGAGTCTGGAAGAGAGAGACAGAGAGATGTTTGTCCAGCTTCTTTTTTTTTTATCAATGTTTAACCATATAATATATTACAGTAAATTGTTAATATGGTAAGGTTAAAGATGGGTTTCCTTATTTTTTAGTGTCAAACTATTTGCTTTTGTTTGTAATGAATTATCATGTACTCTTAATCACATCATTATGTTCTTATTGCATATAATTAAGAGTTTTAACCAATCATAAATGTCCATATATGTACAGTCAGGATAAACAAAAAAAAATACTTTTTAACCTTTCTTGATCGGTCACTTATTGGAATTTTGCTAGCATTTTCTTTTTCATTAATGAAAATAAGGGATCCTATCTTTAATTTTGGTT